CACTGATGAAGAACAATGAGTCTGCCTACAGGGAGGAAGCGCAAAGGCTGACAATGTGGTGCAGAGAAAATAACCTCACCATGAACATCAAAACAACCAAAGAACTGATAGTAGACTTCTGGAAAAAGCACACACTCCACTGCTCATCAATGGCGAGGAGGTGGAGAGGGTGAGAAGCTTCAAATTCTTGGGCACCCACATCACAGAAGATCTAAAATGGACTGTCAACACCAACATGCTGGTAAAAAAGGGACAGCGGCAGTTATACTTTCTGAGAACATTCAGGAAGACCAACCTGTCCCAACACCTGCTTGTGGCCTATTACCTCAGCACCACAGAGAGCACTGTGACTCATCCTGACATGGAACGGGAGTTGCTCTGCAGCAGACAAAAAGGTTCTTCAGCTGCACAGAGCATCACCAACTCCCAGCTACCAGCTCTGGACAAAATCTTCTGCTCTCGCTGCCTGCAGAAGTCACACAACATCATTAAGACCCCTCCCACCACTGCCCAACACCTCTTTGAGCTTGTGCGCTCTGGCAGAAGATACAGGTCCATCAAATGCTTCATAACTGAGGCCTGAATGAATGAATGAGATCCACAAATCTCCTCAACCTCCTACTTTCTGAAGGTTCAATATCATATTTACTTACAATTTTGCAAAGTGTGAAGCAGAACACGTCTGCATCTCCTCTGTTCAGTGAGCAGCAGAAGGTGAGGAACCAGCTGGGAGCAGTGAGCATCCTGGTCTGACATCTCAACAAGCTGCAAACCTGAACTGCTCATTCAGACTGACTCTAATCCATAGAGGAAGAATGAATGAGGTGGATGGTTGTTTTTAGTATTTTGTAGAGCTGGAGGAGACAGATGGTTCAGAATTGTGGAAACAATCTTTTTTTTTTCATGACCACCAAGAGCTGTGCAGCTGCCAAAAGTATACGTACACTGAATTGATGTTTATGACTTTCATGTACTTGTAGTGTCGTGGGACCAATTGGCAAAAACTGTGAATGTCTGTTTTAACCCAACTTTACAGGCACTGGTTGACCTCTCTATTATAAATAAACACTGTCAGACTGCTGTGTGTTGAATCGTCTGCGTCAACGTGAGACCAAACAGGAAGAGCAAACCCACCGCCCTCCCCCAACATCATACTTCAGCTCTATTTCAGTGTCACCCTCCTGCAGTCAGCAGCAAGTCGCTATGGAGGCTACAGCTCTCTGCTTCAGGCTCTGTGAGTTCAGCTTTCTCACTTTTATTTCAACTCTTGTTCTCTCCCACATCACAAAACTTATGGATCATTCTTTTGTTTTTCTAGTGATGCTTGAATTCCTGCTGGAGATGCACATTCAGTCAGGTTATACTCGCAGAACTGGTGAGTAACAAAGAAAAGATGCTGTTTGTAGCATAACTTCCTTTATTTTAACATTTTTGAGTCATTTCAGAAACATCTTAAATTCTTCTTTCGCTTACAGGTGCAGCTTTGCTTCGAGTCGATCCAAACAGGCTTCAGCACTTTGACTACGAGTCTTTGTCTTTTCACTGCGATGGATTCGATGGTTCCATTAATCTGAGAGGAAAACGGAACACTGAGGAGTTTCGTCCAGTATGTGAAGTCATAGAGACGTCTTCATCCTCCTGCAGGATTTCTCAAATTTATCCAACAGACATGGGAGAGTACTGGTGTGAGTCTGAAGCTGGAAAGAGAAGCAACAGAGTCGACATCACCATCACTGGTAGGTTCTTGTATTTATTTCCTTCTAAACAACCGAAGCTTCTTGTCTCCAGTGTTTTATTGTCCATCAGTGGTTGCAGATAACACCTCGTCTTTCCTCCATGTTGTCCAGCTGGTCCTGTGATCCTGGACAGTCCTGCGTTTCCTTTGTTGGAGGGAGACAACGTGACTCTGAGCTGCATGAGCAGAAAGACTTCCACCAAGCAAGCGGCA